GGTTATTAGCTTGAAGAAATAACTATTACTGTTTCTTATTAGAAGTGTTCCTGTAGCAGTTCACCATGCTGTATGTACAGGTTGTGAGGCACAGAACAAGCACCAATGCCTGCATATAGAATTCAGATTACTGTCACTTCTGAATACTTGCAGTTCTCCCCCATCATTGCTGCATTTGGGCACTTTCCTTGTACTCAGGACTGGAAATAACTCTTCCTTGACTGCCTGTGTGAGAAATATATTGGTTTATAGGTTGGTGTGGGATAGTGGGTGGTGTGTGGTAAATTTGTGACAAAGCTAAACTGAATAAATTGATTTTACTTTTTACCCACATGTGGTGAAGTCTTTAACTCCTAGGAATGAATGCCATGAGTGAAGTCTGTTTTTGTGAAAGTTCTGTCTCCTGCATATGTGAATCTCCCACACTGTTGCAGTAAAACAGGGATGGGGAACTTATGGCCCAGGGGCTGGATGCAGCCCACAGCTTGCCTGGATCCAGCCTCCAACGCTTGGGGCTCCACCCCAGCATTGCGGAGCCCATACTGGTGCTCCAGCCCTCCCGCAATCCCACAGTCCCTCACAGTGCTGGAGCACACAAAACCTACTAGCCTGGGCCACCCTCGGCTCTGGTGTGTGAGGGGAATGTAGGGAGTGTGTCTTTTCAATTGGGGTCCACATCAGTGAGGGTTTGGTTGTGTAGGGTTTTTTCTTTTTGTTTTTTTGCTTCTTGCTTGCGCGTGGTCCCAGACTGATTTTTCTGTGGGTGTGTACCCTCCCCCCCCCAAAAAAAAAGTTCTTCATCCCTGCAATAGAATCTAGCTATTTGTGGAAGAAAAGCAAGGAAAGATGGAGGGAAAGCATCTCCCTCAGCTGCATAGCATCAGTCCTGTGAAGGTTTTCCATATCCAAGGAACTTGAACTGGAGCCTGTGTTCAATGAATGGGGAGGAAGTGAAAAAAGCAGAGCAAAAATGATATATTCATAGTCACGCTTGTTAATAGGCCGTTGCATTTTAGATCACATTTGGTTTCTGTTACAAAGCTCTCAGTACTGAGTGGCTCAAATAAAACTATCTTCTCAACCCTAATGCTGTTCTCTCCAGATCACACTGGTGGGGAAGCTCATACTGCCACTCAACTTGTTACAAAGCTAAATGGAGAAATTTAGCTTCAAACACATTTACCTGAGCACCTTTTATGAGGACTAGGTTTGGGCTCTTTCATGAGCATATCCTTACTGATTTTACCTTGATATCCCACCAGTAAAACAGGTGCAGCAGTGCCCCCTGTCCGTGGAATCAGATCATCATCAGTGCTTATTGGACCACATATGCTCCCCTGTTCCTCCCTACCACCTTTGGTGTGGAATGCAATCTGCAGCATAGCCTGTTTCTTCTTTGAGTGATGTCCCCATGGGTGCTCAACTCTGGGTGCTGGTGTGTCCTTGCACTAGCAGTTGGGAGATTTTTCTAGCAGTGCCCTGCCACAGGTGCACAGTAGTGCCTCCTCATGCCACTGGTGTCCATTAGATGCGGTGCGGTCCCTCAGTTCCTTCTCTACCCCCCCTCAGTGGCAGATGGATCTCCCCTCAATTCACCCTTTCCTCATCTCAAACCACAAAATATTTAATCAGTTCTTCACTTTCAAGTTTGTGAACCCTTTCCATCTCATTCCTTAAAACAAAATCCCCCAATAAAAAAAAACGGTAATTCTTCACTGGTTTGTCAACATGCCTGGTTCCCCAGGTTTTAAGTGCTGTGACTTCTGCAGAGAGGTAATGCCTGTTTTGGATGGTCATTCATCATGCATAAAGTGCTGTGGTGATGTGCACATGACACAAAAATGCTTGCATTGTTCCAACCTGATTGCAAGAGTTCGCTGAGACCATGCCAACAGACTGAGGACTTATCTTTTTGAGAAGTGTCTCTAACCAGCACGGGACGACTCTCCGCCAGTGTTCCCTATAAGCTTCATGGCAGCACAGCTTCACAGGTGATTCATCAGCCCAACCTAGTCAGAGGCTCAGGACTCCATGCATAGAGCTGGCTGACTGGGTGGGGCTGATTAATCACCTGTGAAGCTGTGCTGCCACGGAGCTTAGCGGGAACACTGCTCCCCACCTTGCTCCAAAGAGGCAGACAAACCAAGAAATAGGGACAAGGACTGTCCCTTTACCTCATCTGACAAGACAAAGGCGAAAACCCAGGTTTCCCCAGTGAGATCATTGCCTCCGGCACTGAGCTCATCTAGGGTGAGCATGGGTGACAAGCATGGCACCACCTAAGCACTCAGCACTGCCCGTGAGAACCCATTCTAAGTCCAAGTGGAAGTCATCGGCACCATCAGCACCACCTTCCACCACGCCATCTAAACACCTCAAGTCACTGCATAAGATGGTACCAAAGAGACCCCATACTGCGATGCCTCCACCTCAGACATCAATCCCAATGCAACCATTGGCACCACACATGGCACGCTGACTCAGCAATATTACATGACCACCCGTCAGCAATGGTCCACGCTTCCTCGGCATCACCTCACTAGTTTCATTGGTGCGCTACAGACACCTCGCTCACCCGCTTTATCACTTCCTCACAGTGATGCAAGCAGTAGTCACCACAGCTGTTTCTCATTGCAACATTCCAGCCCCACTGAGAGAGACTCACCATGGGAGCTTTGTTCCAGAAGGTAATCACATCCTTCTCTGCCACCTCATTGGTGCCCTCACCATTATCTGTACCCAGCATTTCCTTTCCCAGCCCAGTGGCACGCATGGGACACCTGGTCCTCCCACAGGAGCCACTGCTCTGATCCTTCCACACCAGCCATGAGACCTCGCTCTCCTTGACCTACACCCCAAGATACAGCAGCGAGCTCCCCAGAACACCTGTAGTCACCAGAGGAGGACTTCTTTTCCGAAGGAGAGGAGAAATCCCCACCCCCCAATTCCTCTTAATCACCTGAAGATAGCATTCCCACTACTCCACCCCGGAAGAGGTGCTTCCCATTTTAGAAGAAAGGCATCTCCTCGGGTGCCGTTGCCATGTGCTGCCTTTGAACAGTATAGATGGCACTTCCAATTGGTTCTGGATGTGAACAGGTCGAGGGTTAGTTGCCCCCATTTGTGGAATACCTCTCATGGGGCTCTAGAGTTTAGTTCCCACTTGTGATGCAGGTGAGGCTGTCTGCTGTCACGTTGAATACATCTAGCAGGTATGATGCTATGCGGATGACTTGGTGTGTAACGCCGTGCGCCCCTTACAGCTGCCATCAGGCGCCCCCCCATCGGTTGGCGCCCTGGCCAGCTGCCCGGCTCCCCCATGCCTCAGTCCGGCCCTGCGCACTACATATGGTAGGAAATGGCATACATAACTGATAGATAGCTCTGAGCTCTAGCAAGTTGATGTGAAGTATTTGCTTATTGTAGGACATTTGCTTTGCACTGTCTGGGCCCTAAGGTGGGATTCCCACCCCATCAGAGGTGCTTCTGTCATTATGGTAACCATGGGAATGGACTGTTGGAAGGGCATGTCAGGTAGTAATATTGTAAAGTTGTGTCCACCAGAGTAGGGAAATAATTCTTTCTTCCCCTCCCCTCCCCCTTATTGCTTTCTAGGAGACCTTCACAAAGAGGTGGGGCTGGGATTGCTGTGAGACTGATCCCCCCTCCCCATTGCCTCAGAGTTTTGGGGCAGAAAGGACCAGCCTGATCATGTTGTTTGACTTCTGGCATGTTGTAGGTCACAGAACCTCATTCGTCCACTCCTGTAATAGACTCTCAGGCTGGGTCTAGACTGGCAATTTTTTCCGCAAAAGTAGCTGCTTTTGCGGAAAAACTTGCCAGTTGTCTACACTGGCTGCTTGAATTTCCGCAAGAACACTGATGATCTCATGTAAGAAATCAGTGCTTCTTGCGGAAAACTATGCTGCTCCCATTTGGGCAAAAGTCCTTTTGCGTAAAAGGGCCAGTGTAGACAGCTCAGATTTGTTTTGCGCAAAAAAGCCCGATGGCGAAAATGGCGCTCGGGGCTTATTTACGCAAAAGCGTGTCTAGATTGGCACTGACGCTTTTCTGCAAAAAGTGCTTTCCCGTTAAAAGCATTTGCGGAGAATCACGCCAGTCTGGACGTAGCCTCGGTCTTTGAGTTGCTTTACTCCTCCACTCAAAGCTGATTTGAAGATGTCAAGTTATAGCGAATCCCCCATTAATCCTAAACGAGCTGCAGAGGAATGGACCCTTACCCATCCAACCCCAAACATGGGCTCAGTCAGCCCCCGAGTATTTTTGCCAAAAGAAACACTCAACCAAGCATATGGTCAAGATTCGCTGTAGTCACTGAGGTGGAGCGCGCAGGGCAATCCCCGTAGGAGCTACCTTGAAGGGGACTGGCGAGGCGCTCGCACCCGGGCGGCTTGGGGCGGACACCCCGCACTCCTGCGGCCACAGACCTGCCCTCCCTCCCCAGCTCGCGCCGGGGCAGACCAGTCTCAAGAACAGGCGGGGCTCCCGCAGGGGCCTTCCCGCTCCGCCCT